CACGGACAAGGACGATTTGACTCAAGCTGAAACATGTGGTATTCGTCGTGGACATGAATACGTATTGGAAACAGCAAACGGCGATCGAGTTGTTAATGAGCACATCAATGTTTCTGTGCCTTCCATTAACTTGCACACAGGTTCTTTGGCTCTCAAAGGTTGTCCGTCTGTTATTTCCATGGGTCGTCTCGTCGAGGATGAGGATTGGACCATCCATTGGAGCAGAAAAGATGGGTGTGTTCTCTCACCACCTGATGGTGGACCATCACGGAAGGCCCCTGTTCGCGACTACATACCACACGTTGACGCCGATAACATGGAGTTAGTGTTTCCGCCTCCACCGAATCCGGGGGGGCACTGTCCGTGCTGCGGCGCCACGAAGGACCAGCCACGGCAAGGGGATGACTCAGCTCCGGCTCAAAAGCCGCATGCTTCTGTTACGTCTTCAAGGACACGCCCGGCTGCTGCTCCATCAGAGCATCTGGACACCAGAGCGCCCAGAGGATCTGGACACAGGAAGAGAAACCCACCTCCCCTGCCCCCGCGGCGCGGAACACGGGACTCTCCAGGAACGACCCGGCACGGAAAATCTCCCCGCTCCCAGGACTCTCCGGATCCGATTCGGCTGAAGAAATCCCGAAGCAGGAGCCCGCTGGCTCTGGCTAAGCCGTTGTTCTTTCGACAGACGGTCAAAATCAAGACCCCGGCTCTTAGTTCGGACCCCCCTGTGCTGAAGAGGCAGACGCCTCCCTCGCGTTCAGGTTGTTTTTGTGTCCTCCCTCGACAGCAGGTAGCCGCGAGCTCAGCCACCGCCGACCAGCCCGATCAGCCGGTCGATTGGGACCCCGATCGCCGATCGGACGCGGATCGATCGCTGGATCCCGGCCTCGGCTTCCATTCGCCCACTCTCGGTCCGGAGACCAGAGACGCCGTCGCTCTCCCGAGCGCCGATCGCGCGTGGTCTGACTACATAACAGATGTCATAAGGGGTGCTGCCCATCTGGACGCCGAAATTGCAGCGGGCAACCGCAGCGAGTACGGCGCAACGAAGGGCACGTCGAAAGGGGGAACGGAGGCCGACCCTGCCCCCCCTACACACCACAACTCCCCTTACGGTACATCATCTGGCGCGTCCTCGAGCCATGGTTCCGCCTCCTCTGGCGCCCCCATGGCGTGCCGCTGGTTCTGCCGCCGCTGATTACGCAGGCTCGGCAGTTGTACCTCATGGACATCAGAGCATACCAGCACCACATCATGATGGACGATGACATCTGCATACAATTTTGATGGCTTCCGAATTTCTTCTGATTTTTGACGTGCCTCTCACATCTTGGTCGATATCAAAACCATACTTGTCACCATGGACAGGCCCAGCTGTATATGAAAAGGTACCGCAACCAGCCTACTCACCATTTCTTGCAGCCGACGCCGAGAATTTGGTTGGAGCGATGGCATAAGTTTTGTGCGTTATCTCTGGGACGTTAGCTTCGCGATAGAAGAGCAGGTGACAACCTTATTATCGATTGCAGTCTTGACAAAACGGCCTAAAGAGCCACAAAGATGATTGTCTAGCATGTACTGTTGAAAATGCACAATTGCAAAAACATGTGAAAAAGCATAATTGCATAAATACACTTGATTCTTCATTACTGGTGCAAGACGTACAAGATTTTCTTGGAACTTGCGCATGCACTCTACTCCTCATATCTCAATGTTTTGCGTTTTACTTTGGATTGGATCTGGCTCATTGCACACATCGTTGCATTCATATCATGTGTTGCTTCGGGCACCGACCGTTTGGGTCGGTGTCATAAGAGCTCAGTCTCTCCATTCCACTTCTCTCCAGCCCACAGCACTGTCCTGGGTTCTATCTCGGCGGCAGGCGCTGTAAAACTTTGTTTGCGGGTTAGCGCCGCCGTTGGGTGCGAACCTTACGACAGAGTTTTGGCTGTCCCTTCTTTCCTTCCTGGGCTGAAGCAGTGGATTGCAGACAGGAGTTCAGTAGAGATTCACTCTCCTATCCCGATCCCCGCTTCGGTGCCTTTCGCCTTTGTGCGTGGGCATCGGGCGGGATCGGGACGGGGGGTGTGTGTGAATCCCCCTACTTTCCTCCTATCTTGCTCATATCCATCGCCCCTTTCGGCTCGGATGCAGGTACTCGTACTCAGAGGGTGAAGAGGACAACTTCCATCATCCTCATCACGTCTACCTACGGACACTTTGGGGGTGGGTTCGGTCCTTCGGTCCCCCTCCCCCTCACACACCTCCTCCTCCTCCTCCTCCTCCTCCTCCTCCTCCTCCTCCTCCGTCGAAGACTGCGACGCCTCTGGCGTCCCGCCCACTTCCACGGGCGCCGAGGGGCTGCGTGCGGCGCCAGCGATGGCTGAGCTCACAAGGGGGGCCTCCCGGCTCACTTCGCTGGGGGCGCGCAGATGGCGACCTGCACCGACCACGTCTCGGGGCGGCAAAGAGGGGGGCGATGACAAACATGGATCAAGGGGGCGTGGATTAGCGACGGGTCCCGTTTCCATGGGAAATCGCGGATCTCCTCCGCCGAGCGAGGCGGCACCGGCCACATTTGGGGGAGGGTGCCTCCCCCGATTCGTGGGTTTGGCGACCGCGCGCAAAATCCATGGATAGCTAATCCATGTTTGCGCGCCCCCGAAAAGAGAGGGGCGACGACCAGGGGGGTGGACATCATGACGGGGGCCGCGATCATCTCAACAGATTTCGTGGTGCCGCTTCTTACTTCAGTGCGTCCTGGCCCCCTCCCCCGGGGCCGCGCGCGCCGCCTGCCATGATTTGCGCGCCCCCCTCTTGGACGCCCCCTCATTGGACGCCCCCGAACATCCTCGTCGGCTCGACGCCGGTGGCCTTCCGGGCGTTGGGCACGGCGCGACCGCGACGGCAAGGGCCTTTTCTGGGGTGCCCTGGCCAGCGCCATCTTTGGCGACCGTGCCGTCGTCTCGCTCACCACGCACACTCCAGGCATCAGTTTCTCACAACCAGGAGGCGAATGCGTATCCGAGACTGTCTTCATCAAGGACTCGGATACGTATTCGCCCCCCCTCCAGAACAACAGCAACAACCAACAACCACCACCACGACAACATAACCAACACCAACACCAACAACAACAACAACAACAGCAACAACAACAGCAGCAACAACAACAGTAACCACAACACCGACAACAACACCAACAACAACGACAACAACAACGACAACAACAATGACAACGACAACGACGACAACGACAACGACAACGACAACAGCAACAGCAACACAAACAACAACGACAACTACCAGGACGACAACAGCAAGGACAACAACAATGTCAACACCACCAACAACAACATCATCAACAACAACGACAACAAGAACGACAACAACGACGACGACGACAACGACACCATCAACGACAAACATGCATCCGAGGCCAGCTGCAAGGACCCCCCGCTTCCCGGACAGAGCCACCGTGCCCACGGGCGCTTCACGGGCGCGCAGGGCCTCTGTCCCCGCTCGCTGGCAAGCAATCTCGGAGGCCAGCGTGGCCGAGGCGCTGCGGCGGGCCCGGAGCTAAAGTCGGGCACGTCCCGCTGCAGGAGGTGCACTCGAGGTCGGTAGAACACGGTATGGCGACGACTTCTCGTGCTGTTTTGTTTTTCTGTCTGATGCTTTGTCGAAGCGTTGTTTCAACTGTTCTTCCAGAGTCCGCCTGTAGGAGGACATGCCCGACCTAGTCTAGGAGCCGTATGAGCGTCGGCTGGACAGCTGGTCAGGCCGGGCACTGGAGGTCACAGAGCTGCCCTTGCGATCGGTTGATCGCGCGGTCTTGTCGCAGGGTCGCCCCCTCGCCCGCAGACTCTGGCGCGGCTCGGGGCGAGGCTCGCCCGCCGCCCTCCAGAGCACCGTGGACCTCGCAGCCGTGACCCGGACAGCGAGCACGCATCGAGGACGGAACCTGCTCTCTCGAGAGCCTCCACACATTTGCACAGACAGCTCCTGCGACACGCCGGACGGCCAGCTCGGCCTCGCGAGCCTTGGCCACGGTGAGTTCCAGCCCCGCCTCATCAGCACCGCACCCACCTTCGGCGAGCATACCATCACCTGGTCTCAACCGATCGGGTGCGGGTCGCTGCCCGTCGCACCAAGAAGGGCCTTCGCTGCGTCTCCTCCTCCCCCTCCTCTCCTGCCGTGTCATCCATTCCCCCCGTCCTCGTCGTCCTCCTCTTCCTCCTTCCCCTCCCCTCCCTTTTCCCTCCCTTCCCTCGATGTTTGCAGCCATGCTGTGGCCTGATGGTCGAAAAGCCGCTTCCCTTCCAGGCCTTTCTGAGCTTTGGCACATTTTCTTTCAAGCAAAGACGAGTGAGCACGACCGAGCGTCATCAGCTTGCGTCCGACCGAACACTTCCCTCCTCCTTCCCTCCCTCCCTCCCTCCCACCTCCCTCCTCGTCGTCCTCTCTCCTCCCCCTTCCCTCCCTCCCTCCCCCCCTTCCTCCCTTCTCTCCCCCCTTACATTGACTTGGTCAGATGGTCGCACTCATACTCGTACTCCCTCCCCCATCTCCTCCCCTCCCTCCCCAGGAGGGTCCAAACGGACCGCGCCAAGGGGGAGCTTATCCTGCCCCCCCTGCTTCGTGCGCCTCACCTCCCGCTTGGTGAGAAAGGCCTGCGAGGCGCTTGCAGTCTCGGGGCCTGGACGAACCTCTGTCCGAAGTGCTGCGATATCCTCCCCTCCCGTAGATGGACAAAACGGAAGCCTTGGCTCCGTCCCCCCGTCCCCCCCGTCTATTCAAAGCTGGCCCTGGGCATTCGGGAGCACAGGCTCGAAATGAACCAAAAAAAAAACGTTGACCCCCCAAGGGCCTCCAGCAGGCCGGACGCCAACTTTGAGTCCGGAAGGAGGGGGGCGAACACGGGGTCAAAAACGACGGGTTTCCCACTTTCTTGTCACCTCATTGTCCCTCCCTCCCTCCCTCCCCCCTTCCCTCCTCAGGAGCTCAAGGCCGCCCAGGAGGTGCTCCGCAGCCTGGTCCTGGCGCGGGACCTCGCAGAGGCCAGGGCCTCTGCCGGCCTTAAAGCCTTAGAGCTCTGCCTGGCTCTGCGGAAAGTGCACGCGGCCCCTGTCACAGATCTCGGCGAGGCGATGGGAGGAGGGTTGAGGGAGAAGGAGGGGGAGGAGGAAGAGGAGGAGGAGGAGAAGCAGGAGGAGGAGGAGGATCGAGGACGGAGGACGGTGGAGGAGGATGATAGGAGGACGGAGGACAGAGGAGGAGGAGGAGGAGGAGAAGGATGAGGAGGAGGAGGAGGAGAAGGAGGAGGAGGAGGAGGACGAGGATGAGGAGGGAGGATGGAGGACGCAGGATGGAGGATGGAGGATGGATGATGGTGGAGGAGGGGGAGAGGGAGGAGGGAGGGGGAGAGGGACGCCGGTGATATTGGCCTGGACATTCATCCAAGATCCGGTCTTTTTCGTTCATGGCTGAGGCTTTGGCCTCATGTAGAGGAAGCAGCGCTCGCAGTTCGTTGGCAGTTTGCCGTCGGTAATTTGTGTTGGGTTCTGCGAGAGAGAGGTGAAGGACGGAGGAGGACGCAGGATCCCCGAGGTCTGGGCGCAGCACCTGCTTCGCGCTGGGCGCTTCCGCCCTGTCTCGGGCCCCAGGGCCATCACAGATCGGTCGGGCTCGGTGAACGCCGCAGGAGGATGGGGTCCAGGTCTTTGGCCGTGATTCTGCGCGATCTTGTATTTTTTCGCGACGTGGGATCTCAGGGATGGAGAGTGGAGGAGGAGGAAGAGGAGGAAGAGGAGGAAAGGAGGAGGGGGAGGAGTAGGAGGATAGAGAAGGATTGAGGAGGATGGAGGACCCTGACTCTGGACCCGCCCCGCCCTACTTTGGACTATTGCGAACGTAGGGCGGACAGTTCCACCCTACTTTTTAAGCTCCTCCTTTGATGTCGATGTCCGCCGTACTTTGCCGTCGCTGTTTTCGCCATATGTTTGCAGAAGTATCCGCCCTATCTTTGCTGTGGCGGAGATTTCCGCTTCACTTTTTCGCATCGTTTGGAGTGCATGTCCGACACAATTGAAAGTTGGCCAGCCAAGCAAAGTACGCGGATCTGGAGTCAAGGGAGGAGGAGAATGATGGAAGATTGAGGATTGAGGATGAAGGATGGAGGATGGGGGATGGAGGATGGAGGAGGAGGAGGAGGACGAGGAGGATGACGAGGAGGATGACGAGGAGGAGGAGGAGGAGGAGGAGGAGGAGGGGGAGGAGGGGGAGGAGGGGGAGGATGAGGGGGGATGCAGGATGCAGGATAGAGGATGGGGGGTGCAGAATGGAGGATGGAGGATGGACACGCGGCCCAGCCGGGGAGCCCCGCGGGGGGGGCGGGCAGCCCCGCGGCCCACGGCACCGAGGCGCAGACGCTCGCGCAGCTGCGCGCGGCGATCAAGAGCGCGGAGGGCGCAGGCGCCCCTCTCCTCCTCCTCCTCCTCCTCCTCCTCCTCCTCCTCCTCCCTCCTCCTCCTCCTCCTCCTCCTCCTCCCTTCCCCTCCTCCTCCTCTCCTCCTCCTCCTCCTCCTCCTCTTTTTCCCCTCCTCTTTTCCTCCTCCTCTCTTTTCCTCCTCCCCTCCTCCTCCTTCTCCTCCTCCTCCTCCTCCTCCTCCCTTCCTCCTCCTCCTCCTCCTCCTCCTCCTCCTCCTCCTCCGCCTCCCTCCTCCTCCTCCGCCTCCTCCTCCTCCTCCTCCTCCTCCTCCTCCTCCTCCTCCATCCTCCATCCTCTGAGGGGCGGGGAGCTCACCATACCTCGTTGCGTCTTTCTTCCCGCCCTTCCGCTTCTTTTGCTGGAACATCCGCAGGCTTGAAGCACAGGGCGCTGGACTACGCCCGGCAGCGGGCGACGGCTGCGGTGCAGCTTCAGGAGGCTGCGGGATGAGATGGGAAACGCGAGCGTGAATCCCGTTTTCCTTATCCACCCAGAGAGATTCGCTTAAGTTCCCCACCAGCTCAATTGTGTACCCCTTCTCCTTCATGTTCCCCTCTGGCGCCTCCTCCATCATGTTCTTCGTTGGTCCTGGAACTCCTTCGCGCCCCCCTCCTACTCAGATTTATCCTCCTGCTTCTTCTTGTTTTCGCTGTCAAGAAGCCACTGCCAGCAAGATACCCTAAACAGCAAAATTGAGGACTCGATGAAATCAGATGAATGGAGTGCCAATAGAGATGTAAACATGGGAAGCCACCAGGGAGACCATACAGGAAACCATGCGGGAGACCATACCAAAATACCATACAGGAGATCATGACGGGAGACCATGCGAGAAACCAGACGGAAGACCATACGGGAGACCATGACGGGAGACCATATGGGAGACTATGATGGGAGACCAAAACCCACCAGCCACCGATTCCGGAACCAGAGGAGTTCGGACAAATACATGGAGATTTTCCGGGCGGGGCTAGTAGGACGAGGATGAATCATTTCCAGAGCCTTCTGGAACGCTCTCGCAGCGTTCCCGAACGCTGTGAGAAGGCGGCGGCGCCCGAGACAGCCTCCAGAACCGCCGGATCGCAGAGATTCCCGACTGCTCGCTGGCGGTAAACCGTCAATCTAGTTACCGCCGGGACCCTCGTAGAGCTCTTGAAGTCGACAAGGCATCCTAGGAGTTCCGCAGCTAGCCTGCAGCTGCATCGAACGCATGCATGCAGAATCTATTGCACGAAATGAATATTTCCAACAGTTCTGGTTATAGCTGTTTTTTCGCCTCGGCCTGGCTCTCGCGGCTCCTTCACTTAAAAGTTTGAATGTATGCGCCATAGACGTCCACTGCTGACGTGCAGCGCGAGATGACGTCGAAGAGCCGACCAATTCATGCAGCATCTCTCACAAGTTTCTACAATTGTGTTTCGGAAAGCACTGTTTTGTGACCTCGCAATGCTTGCAGTAATGCAGCAGGGCCTTTCGAGGCGCTAGACCAATGCTAGCGATGCTGCTGAATCGACTCGTGTGGCTGAAAGCTCTGTAGCTGCTCTTAATGTCAAGATCAAGTCCTTAAACGGACTCGTTTTTCTGCCATAGCTCGAGTAGCAGACCGATCTCAGGCTTCTCGAGGCTCCAGGCCAAAGCTTTCGATGCTGCTGAATCGACTGCTGTGACTAAGCGATCTCTAGCTGGCCTAGATCTCGAGTTCAGTCGAGAAACTACATATTCTGCAACATGTCATTTTCTCAGGGTCGGTTCCCGGAGGTGAATCGATAGTAAGATTGCAGCGACAGCGCTGAGAATTCGCATGCAAACTTCTACAGGCAGTAGCTTCACATAGTAAGCATTCCAGAGAAAAGGAATCGTAAAATCTCGAGATTTCCTGAACCATCCGGCGAAACCCCACATGAAGTTCGTTGTGGCCGAATCGGCCAACTAGCTCCAGCTTGCGCCCGAATTCCTCTTAGCTCATCTAGCCGAAGAGCTCTGCGAGGTAGTTATCCTCGCCCGAATTTGTCCTCGCCCCGGCTCCGGCCTGCCTGGCAGACGAGTTGTCTGGGAAGTCCTGCGCTGCGAGATGCCTCCCTGCGGAGGCCGCCAGGAGCCGCCGTGTGGAGTTGCTGGAGCCGGCGCTGCGCACGGACGGCGCCCTTGCCGGGGGAGGCGGAGGGGGAGGGGGCTGGAGGAGCAGGAGGCGGAGGAGGAGGAGGATGAGGAGGAGGTGGAGGAGGAGGAGGAGGTGGAGGAGGAGGAGGGGAAGGAGGAGGAGGAGGAGGGAGGAGGAGGAGCAGGGAGGAGGAGGGGAAGAAGAAGGAGGAGGAGGAGGAGGAGGGGGAAGGAGGAGGTGGAGGAGGAGGAGGAAGAGGAGGAGGAGGGGAAGGAGGAGGAGGAGGAGGAGGAGGAGAGGAGGGAGGAGGAGGAGGAGGAGGAGGAGGAGGAGAGGAGGAGGAGAGGTGGAGGAGGAGGAGGGGAGGAGGAGGGAGGGAGGAGAGAGAGGAGGAGGAAGGAGGAGGAGGAGGAGGAGGAGGAGGAGGAGGAGGAGGAGGAGGAGGAGGAGGAGGAGGAGGAGGGGGGGAAGGAGGAGGAGGTGGAGGACCAGTGGAAATCCAAGAGTCATCAACGATGTCGAAATAAGCCCTCCCACCAAGCTCCCTCTTCAAAGGCCCCTACAACGGTTCATTTCCACAAAGGGAACTGTCTCGTTGGAAGACAAGCGTTGGAAGACCCTGAAGCATGCCAGAGCATTGTTCTCGGGATTCCAACGCCACGGATCGACCTGACGGTTGCGTATTGACGATCGTGATTCGCTCCAGAGCGCCATTCTCGAGATTTCAACACAACGAATCAACGTAATTGTTGCACCCTCATCATCCTGAACCCTTCCAAACATCATTTCTGGTACATTGATCGCGTGATTCCGTGAACATCTTGAATTTGTTAAGCTGGATGCGCGCGGCGCTAGCCACAGTTTGAAAAGGAACCGCCCTCAATCCGTGAAACTCTTGCAAATGTTTAAAATGAATGTGCGCGGCGCTAAGGCGAGAGCCACATTTTGAAAACGACCCGCCCTCAATCTGTGAAACTCTTGCGAATGTTTGAAACAAATGTGCGCGGCGCTCAGGCGAGAGCCACAGTTTGAAAACGGCCAGCACTCAATCCATGAAGCTCTTGCAATTTGGGCCAACGAATGTGCGCGGCGCTAACGCGAGAGCCACATGTTGAAATCCACCCGCCCTCCATGTGTGAATGTGTTGCCCTTTTCAGCTGTTAGGTCATAAATGGTAAAGAAGTCTCAAGCGAAACGCCCGGCCCGCCCCAAAAATTGGCTTTGGGGTGCGACAGGGAGAAGTTATGTACATTGAAAAGGAATGGAAGAGATGGAGGAGAGAGAAGAAGAGGAGGAGGACGGGGAAGGAGAGGAGGATGAGGAGGACGAGGAAGGGGGAGGAGGAGAAGGAGCAGAGATGAGGAAGCAGGAAAGAGGAGGAAGGGATGTGGGACTTGGAGCAGGAGGGGTTACCTCGTGCGAGGAGGAGGAGGGCGAGGACGAGGACCAGTATAAGCCCAAGACCCTCCCTCCAAGCTCATTCTTCATAGGCCCCTACAAGGGTTCATTTCCACTGAGGAAGTGCCCCGTTGGGAGACAACCGTTTGAAGGTCTTGAAACCCGCCAAAACACCATTCTCGAGACTCCAACGCCACGAATCATTCAGACTCTGCTTTTTGACGATCCTGAATCGTGCCAGAACACCGTTCCTGGTACTTCTGCACTGCGACTCAAACTCATTGTTGCAGCCTGGAAACCCTGAATCCTTCCAAAACGCAGTTCCTGGTACGTTAACCATGGGAACCCGTGAAGCTTTTACAATTGGTTTGAACGAATTTGCGCGGCGCTGAGGCGAAACCACATTTTTTAAAAGAGCCGCCCTCAACCCGTCAAGCTCGTGCAATTGTTCCGAGACGAATGTGCGCAACGCTAAGGCGCGAGCCACGTTTTGAAAACGACCCGCCCCCAATCCGTGAAAGCCTTGCAACTGTTTGAAACGAATGTGCGCGGCGCTCAGTCGAGAGCCACATGTTGAAAGCATCTGAAAGCCACTAACCCGCCCTTCATCAATGAAACGCTTGCACATGCTTGAAACGAGTGTGCGCGGTGCTAACGCGAGAGCCACATTTTGAAAACCACGGGCCCTCCATCCGTGAAACTCTTACTCATGTTTAAGACAAGTGTGCGCTTCTCTAAGGCGAGGGCCACGTTTTGAAAGCCACCCGCCCTCAATATGTGAAACTCTTGCGAATGTTTGTAAGCTTCCAGATCATAGATACTGAGGAAGTATCAGGCGACACGCCCGGCCCGCCCTGCCGATTGGCCTCGGGTTGCGACAGGGATAGGAATGGAGAAGGAGGAGAAGGAGAAACCATAAAAATGATAATACTATCATGAGGGAGGCGAACACGGGGGGTGAGGGTGAGGACGGGGGAGTTGCATGAACAAGTTTTCATGGGGATGGGGCAGGGGGGGTAGTGATCACACGGAGGCAGTGACGCAATCGTAGGTATCACATTGTGGGCTGATTCGGGCTTATTCATCAAGGTGCGCCCAGCATCATTCAAGGGCGTTCGCCGTGTGGCTTTTGGAGCAGCTCCCATGTTTTGCCTGCACGAAATCAATTCAGCGGCCTGGCAGGGTTTCTGGGGGGCTTATAACAGCCACCTAGGGGAATGCCACTCTAGAAATGTAGAGTACCGCCTCCCAGAAATGGCTGCTGGGGTCCACATCACTTGTGAGGACTTTACCACACATCAGGCAGCATATGAGTGCGCAGGGGATGGAGCCCGTCTCGCCAGGCTCCCCCAGCATGACATCCAGCAAGTGTGTGTAATATGGATGATGAGGCAGTTCGTGTGCAGAAACGCCTCATAGAGGTGACCCTGCAAGTGACAATTCAAGCCCCATCCCGGTACTCGGCCATCTCCCAAGCTGATCACGTAACCCGCAGTCGTGCTTCTAGGGCCCAGCGTGTAGGGAGCCTGGAGCCACGCAGCGTGGTCGAGAAGGGAGGGGCCCCCAACCAAGGAGTTGGGAACGCTGGACTGGCTTGCCTCGCAATGCCCGCGCAAACCTCACCAGATCCACCAATCATGAGGTGTCTTGTTGTCATGGACATTGGTGAGTGTCCTAAGTGTGGAGCTTGCGGTAGTGCGAAAGTAGGCAAGGTCTGCAGACCACTGGGGTGAGAAGGTGCTGGCCAAACTGTGGGATGGCCGCCTTCTGCCGTGTCTGCAGGTCTGGCCAAACGAGCTGGGCAAGTGGCAGAGAGCTGAGGAGCGAGAAGTTCTGCAGCGCTCGTCGTCCCTCCGTTTCATGATCGGACGTTGGGATTCGGGGTGTGCGCCAGGAGGACGAAGAGGAGGAGGATGAGGAGGAGGAGGAGGATGAGAAGGAGGAGGAGGAGGAAGAGGAGGAGGAGGAGGAAAAGGAGGAAGAGGAGGAGGAGGAGGAGGAGGAGGAGGAGGAGGAGGAGGAGGAGGAGGAGATGGAGGATCAGGAAAAGGAGGTGGAGGAAGAGGAGGGGGAGGAGGGGGGGAAGGAGAGGGGGAAGCGGGGTGAGGCAGGGTTGGGGGGGCGTAGAAGCGTGGAAGCGTGGAGGGGAGGCGGAGGCGGAGAATGAAGAGGACGGGAGGCGGAGGCGGAGGCGAAGGCTGAGGAGGATGAGGAGGCGGACTAGGAGGGTGGAGCGAGAGGAGGGCGGGGGAGAAAGTGTTAGCGGCAGCTGGGAAGGGTAATTGCCAGCTCCTATGTCCTAGCTCTAGTTTCGGCCAGGCCTGGCATGGGCCATGGACCGGCGCGCAGGTTCTCTTGGCTTGGCTGGGCGCTGGGAGGGAGAGGGGGAAGCAGGAGGAGGTAAGGGGAGGGAGGGAGAAAAGGCAAAGCAGCAACAGCATGAGGAGGAGGAGGAGGAGGAGGAGGAGGAGGAGGAGGAGGAGGAAGGAGAAGGGGAAGAAGGAAGGAGGAGGGAGGCGGCGAAAGAGGCGCGAATGGAGAAGGAAGAGGAGCAGATGGACGAGGAGGAGGAGGTTGATGATGAGGAGGAGAAGAAAGAAGAGGAGGAGGACGACGGGGATGGGGACGGGGCTGGGACGGGGGAGTGGGAGTGGGAGGGGAAGGAGGGAGGCGGCGAGACACAAAGAGAGGGAAGGAGGCGGCGAGAGAGAAAGGGAGGGAGGGAAGGAGGGAGGCAGGGAGGATGATGAGGAGGAGGAGGGAAGATGAGGAGGAGGTAGATGAGGAGGAGGAGGAGGAGGTGGAGGAGAAGGAGGAATAGGAGGACGAGGAGGAGAGGAAAGCCAGTGCAAACCCAAGACTCATCAACGATGCTGGAGTACACCCTCCGCCCAATCTCCTTCTTCAAAGGCCCCTGCAAATATTCATTTCTACTGAGGCAGTGCCCCGTTGGGAGACAACCGTTTGAAAATCCTAAAGCGTGCCAAAAAACAATTATCGGGACTCCAGCGCCGGTAATCAACTTGACTGTTGCGTCTTAAGGATCTTGAAATGCGCCAGAGCACCATTCCCGGGACTTCAACACCGCGAACCAACGCTATCTTGACATCGTTCCGAAACACTATGCCTGGTACGTGCGCTGATCAGGGGAATCAGAACAACTGTTGGGAATGTTTGAGACGAGTGTGCGCTGCATTAAAACGAGAACCACATTTTGAAACATTTTGATAAGGAGCCGCCCTCAACCCGCGAAGCTCCTGCACTTTTTTGAGGCGAATGTGCGCGGCGCTAAATTGACAGCCACATTTTGGAAACGACTCGCCATCCATCTGCGAAGCTGCTGTCACTTCTAAGTCTCAGGATCATAAATAGTAAGGTAGTCTCAAGAGAAGCGCCCGGGTCGCCCTTTCGACTGGCTGCGGGGTGCGACAGGGAGGAGCTATTTGTAAGGAAATACATCGTATGGACGAGGAGGAGGAGGACCAATTGAAACCCACCCAAGACGCATCAACGACGCGGGAAATGCCTCATAGGAAAAGAAGGGTCGGGTAGTAGTAGTAGTAGTAGTAGTAGTAGTAGTAGTAGTAGTAGTAGTAGTAGTAGTAGTAGTAGTAGTTGTTGATGTAGTAGTAGTAGTAGTAGTAGTAGTAGTAGCAGTAGTAGTAGTAGTAGTAGTAGCCGTAGTAGTAGTAGTAGTAGTAGTAGTAGTAGTGGTAGT